GTAGGTAGGTAGGTAGGTAGGTAGACAGGTAGGTAGGTTGGTAGGTAGGTGGGTAAGTAGTAGGTAGGTAAGTACATGGATGGATGGATGGGTTGATGGATAGATGGATGGATGGATAGATGGACTGACTGACTGATTGATATGATTTGGATCTGTGTCCCCATCCAAATCTTATGTCGAATTGTAAGCTCCAGGGTTGGAGGTAGGGCCTGGTGGAAGGTGATTGGACAATGGAGGCAGATTTCCCCTGAGTGCTGTTCTTGTGACAGTGAGTTGTCATGAGATCTAGTTGTTTAAAAGTGTGTGGAATCTCACTGCCCCACTTCCTCCTGCCCCTGTCGTGTAAGAATGGCCTGCTTCCCCTTTGCCTTCCACCATGATTGTAAGTTTCATGAGGCCTCCCCAGAAGCAGATGCTGTCATGCTTCCCGCACAACCTACAGAACCTTGAGCCAATTAAACTTCTTTTCTTTTCCTTATAAATTACCCAGTCTCAGGTATTTGTTCATAGCAGTGTGAGAACGGATAGATTGATAGATAGATAGATAGATAGATGATAGATGATAGATAGATAGATAGATAGATAGATAGATAGATGATAGATGGATAGATGACAGATAGATGTATATTCTATATTTATATCTCAATTAAACTTATTTTCTTTATAAATTACCCAACCTCAGGTATTTCCTCATAGTAGTGTGAGAATGGATACACAGATAGATAGATAGACAGATAGATAGATGATAGATAGATAGATAGATAGATAGGCAGATAGATAGATGCACTATATTTATATCTAAATGGCAATAGGTATGGCAGGGGCAGATGGATGGACCAGTGAATAATCAGAAGGAAAGAAAAAGCAAAGACATACTTTGTAGATAACTACATTGCTCTGGTCACCGAAGTTTGAGCTTCTTAAGCATTATCTCATATAATCCATTTGTGATGGGCATGGCTATTTTGCCTGTTTTATATATGAACTGTTGACACATTATCAGAGTTAGAGTTAAAACCCTTGGGTTTTCCACTACCCTACATTGCCTCTCATTCAAGGTCACAGTAAAAATTGGAAGACACTGTATTGGAGAATGCAAGCCATACAGACTGTCAGTGCGTAAACATAAACTATGCCCTCAAGCCTACTCAGCCTTTTAACACGTGCATTCTACCGAACACCAGGATACAAAGGAAGGAAGAGCAAGCAATGCTTCCTCAACCCTTCTCAACTTGATGGTGAGCAGGCAAGAAGCACATTTCTATTCAATATGGTCTCTCGCCACCTCTATTCTTCACATCCCCCACAGTTCCCACATCCCCACCTCCCAGGCAGTTTTTCACTCCAGCGATTCTCCCACTTTAATGAACATATAAATTGACTGGGATTTTAAAAGCAGATTCTGGCTCAGAAGAGATGGAATCTGGGAGATCCCCAGGACCACACTCTAGGTGACTAACCTCTATTCTATACTCTATTGTTGTAGAAAAGCAAACCTTGTTAGACATAAAAAATATGTAGTATAGTTCTCCGGACTCCAAGAACATTTAGTACACATTCTAAGAAGAAATGTGATCTGGACTTGGGAGGTTTGCACTATATGTATATTTGGATAAAGAGCATCTGTAAGTCGTAGAACACCCCCCGCATCCCGAACAATTCCTTTCTGAATTACCTAGATACAGTTTTACGCTAGTAAAAGCAAGGCGTGCACAGTAAAGAATAGATGCCATCCTGATGCTATTTAAATATATATTTACTTCTTATTCATGATCTTTCACCCATTTAATTTTCTCTGAGAGATTATTCAGGTCACTTTTTAAATGGGTTTCAATGTTTCTAGAGCTGCAGCTCATTATAAAAATGTTCACAGCAGATAGAATCTTCCTCCAGCGCCGCACTAGTTTAGAACTGGCAGACACAGAAATCGGTATGCAGATAGTGTACCATAAGCATTAATTTAGTATTATGTGGAAGGTTGATTGATTAATAAATACATAAGCCAGGAAGCCTAATTTAACTCTTAATTTCTTTTTTTTTAAATTTCTCAGAGGGAAAAATTAATCTGGAAGTGTTGATGGATTGAGAGCTTTAGCATGGTCTAGACAGCAATAGAAAATGACTATGAACCTGGGACTTTGCAAACTGCATCATTTGCAGAATAAACCTGATCAACCAGTTTCATCCCACAGTGATTGATGGTCAGAAAGGAAAGGCTGTACAGATCATGGAGGAGAAGAATACATAATCTGAGGAAGCAGTGCACCCTGCAGAGTGGTTAAAGAAGAGAGAATAAATAAATATTTTTAGCTCAGAGATGGACATAAATGAAAAAACAATGCACTTGAAATTTTCAGAATTAATGTTTATTAGAGCACTCCGGTAAACAAGCAAATTAGAATTAGTACATTGCACTCTTAAGAATGTGCAGAATATAAATATATCTTAGCTGTTGTGGTCCCACTGGAAAGAACCAGCTTATACTCTTGCTATGATTAAAAGGTCAAATGTCCTATATCCAGATTTGAATAGCGATGAATGTTTTTCTAAAAGCAAAGGACAACATACTCATTGTTCTCTCTTTGAAGAGTAGCAATTAAGCTGAGCAGGGCAATTACTTATAAATTAGACCTGTTTTCCTTTCCAGCTCATATTTACACAATGAGCATTAAGGTCAAGTTGCAAGCCCTAATCCTCAGAAAACTGACATCAAAATCATCAACATTGTTAGTATTTAGTGTGTCCATGAAGAGGAAGTTTGGAAGGAAGAAAAGAAGATAACATTGGAGGGCCTGCTGTAATAAGAACTGTTAAAATTTTCTACCAGAGATTCTGACTGAAGATTCGTTGCTAACCCTTTGTTTTATTAATCCAATTTTATACATGAAAAAGACCCAAGATTAAGGGTGTTAGGAAGATTGGCCAGTGTTACAAAAACAACAGCTATTAAGCGGCGGCACCTCATTGATGTTGGACTGCAGAGCCTGATGTTTCTACAGAATGCATGGGAGTGACCTGCGGAGCTTATTAAAACAGATTGCTGAGCCCTGCACTCCGAGTTTCTCATCAGGCAGAATATTAGTTTCCTATTGCTGCTGCAACTAATTACCATAAAGTTAGTGGCTTAAAAACACATAAATGTGTTATCTCCCAGATCTGTAGGTCAGAAGTTCAGGTACAGCACAACTCATCTGGATGCTCTACACAGAGTCTCACAAGGAAGAAATTCAGATGTCAGCAGGTCTGGGTTGCATTTTTTTTTTTTTGAGACAGGGTCTCACTCTGTTGCCCCAGCTGGAGTGCAGTGGCACCATCACAGCCCACTGCAGCCTTAACCCCCTAGGATCCAGCGATCCTCACACTTCAGCCTGCCAAGTAGCTGCGAATACAGGTGCATGTCACCATGTCACACTAATTTTTGTATTTTTTTGTAGAAGCAAGGTTTCACCATGTAGCTCATGCTGGTCTTGAAATCCTGGATTCAAGTAATCCTCCCATCTCAGCCTCACAAAATGCTGGGATTACAAGTGTGAACCACCGCACCTGGTCTTGTGCTCTATTCTTTATTATTATTCTTTAATAGAGACAAGACCTCCTCACTCTGTTGCCCAGGCTGGAGTACGGCAACACAATCATAGCTCACTGAAACCTTGAACTTCTGGGCTCCAGCAGTCCTCCCATCTCAACCTCCCTAGTAGCTGGGACTACAGGTGCGCACCGCGAAGCCCAGCTAATTTTTGTATTTTTTATAGAGATGGGTTTTGCCATGTGCCCGGGCTGGTCTCAAACTCATGGCTTCAAGCAATCTTCCCACCTCAGCCTCACAAAGTGCTAGATTACAGGCGTGAGCCACTACATCCAGCCAGGCCTGTGTTCCATTCTGAAGGCCCTGGAGAGGGACCTGCTTACAAGGTCATTCAGGTCGTTGCCTGAATTCGGTTCCTTGCAGTTATATGACCTGTTTTTGCTGGCTGCTGGTCAACGGCTGGAGGCTGGAAGCCATCTGCATTTTCTCATGCTCTCTCTGTGGCCCATCCAGCAAGCACGGTTCCACTCACACTTTGAATTTTCTTGACACTTCTGCTGCACCTCTCTGACACCAGCCAGGGAAAGCTATCCACTTTTAAGGATTTACTGTCATTAGATTGGGCCCATGGAATAGTCAGGAATAGTCCTTCTGTCTTTAAAGTTTAGAAACTTTAATTTTCTGCCAAGTTCCTGTTGCATGTCATATAGTCACAGAATCTAGGGATTCAGGAGTGAACATCTTTGAGGAGCCATTCCACCTGTTATAATGATCCTGGGCTGGGACCCAGAAATTTGCCTTTCTAACAAGTTTCTTTTATGTTAGAAAATTATCTATGATGCTGATGTGATGCTTCCGGTCCAGGGATCACCCTTGGAAGATGCCTACAGTAGCTGCTCCTACTTCAAGTGCAGTTCATGGCATCGAAGTCACTCAGGAGCTTATTAGAAATGCAGGACCTTGAGCCTCCTCTCAGATTTATTGGGGTAAAAATCTGCAGTTTAACCAGATCTCCAGGTAGATTGGTACACATTAAAGCCTGAGAAATGTTGCTCTACAACAGTTAGAAACAGGGAAAAGTCATGAGTAAATTATGTTTTATTTATTCTCAAAACCATTTAGAAAGACACAGTTCTTTATTGTTGTTGTTGTTGTTTGTTTTTTTGTTTTTTGCAGAAGGAGTCTCACTCTTGCTGTCCAGGCTGAAGTGCAATGGTGCAATCTCGGCTCACCACAATCTTTGCCTCCTGGGTTCAAGCAATTCTCCTGACTCAGCCTCCCAAGTAGCTGGAATTACAGGCATGCACCACCACGCTGGGCTAATTTTGTATTTTTAGCAGAGACAAGGTTTCTCCATTTTGGTCAGGCTGGTCTCGAACCCCTGACCTCAGGTGATCCGCCCACCTCAGCCTCCCATTGTGCTGGGATTACAGGAATGAACCACTGCACCAGGCCTTGACACAGCTCTTTTTTTGTTCAGTTATTGCCCTTTTTTGTTAGATGGTGGAGGGAGGCATCTTACCTGTGAAGTTGAGAAAGAATTTCTGCACTGTCTCTTCAGCTGGCTTTAATATACCCAGTCCCACACCCAGTTTTAACAGAAAAGGTGGCAATCTCCCCACAAACTCAGCCTTGACTATGTTTGGCATCCTCAAACAATTGCAAGCTGGATTTTGTTATTCACTGGGCTTTCTTGACCCGGACATCCTGCCTTTGGTCACATCCTAGTTTGATAGGAATAGATTAAAACTGACTCTCCGATGGATTCTGGAAAGAACCACCACCCTGGCCATCCTCCCCGGGCAGAGATAGAGTGAGTCCATCAGCAGCAGGATACTCTGCCTTGACTTCATTGCTGAGCATATTTCCCCAGACCTGAGAAGAAACTCAGCAGAATCTAAGGGCCCCAGAGGAGAATCAAATATCATTAACCATTTTATTGAGGAGGTTATTGGTTTTCTGAGAGTTACCATTAGCGGAAAGTGACTGCAGTAGAAAATGTTGAAGAAAACTGAAGACTGTGTATTTAGCCTGTGACTAAACACACAGTGAATTTCTACCTTTGCCTCAAAAATTCCTAAATGGAATTACTGAAACGTAACCATTAAATATACAAAGAAGAGTGGGCTATGTTTCAAGATGTAGACATTACCTGTAAATTAACTATCTCAAATTCTCTCACTTTTTTAAATTTAAACTGAGAGAAGGGGAACAAAGAAGTGAAAATGACAATAAATTTGGAGTGATCGTAAGAACATAACGAGTATGGTAAAGTGCCATCATTAAACGCTATTGGTAAAATACAAACCAACAAACAAACCTCTCTCTCTCTCTCTCTCTCTCTCTCTCTCTCTCTCACACACACACACACACACACACACACACACACACACACATACACACTCTTATACTCACTCTATTCATTCCTTTTTAGCACACAGAGCTCCCTCCAGGTGATAAGGTCCACAGGGCCTGCTGAAATCAGCTGATGATTCCTGAAGAAGCACCAAGACTCATGTAAACCATCTTATTCCGAGCACATTCTTCCTATGCTTGCACTTGTTCCTTGATCAGATGATGAGACAGTCCTCTAAAACATTCAGTAATAAAAGGCTTGTTACATATTGACAGGGGATGTCAGCAGCCCAAAAATGTTTAATGAGGTACCTGAAAATACAGCCAGATTACACCAGCAGAGTCAGTAAGGCAACAGCCATTCAGGCAGGACACGGGACAAAAGCCAGAGGGGATAACTGCCCCCAAAATTTAAAGGGAAAAATACTTCCCACTTCCCTGATCAATGCCATTCTCCCACCTCCATTTCTGGAAACTATTTACTTCAAGGAGTACTTAGCAAAAAAACCCTCACCATTTCCTGAAATCTGAAGATTTTTTTGTTTTCTAAAACCACCTGGCAAAATAGCTGAGCTTTCTACTCATCACTGACACACCAGCGTTCTTTTCCATCTGCCTGTACCGAGGGTGTAGGGAGAAATGGAAAATCCCAGATCAAAGATGGGATCTCTCTGGGGTCACTGGAGGGAATGTAAGAGGACCTTTCAACGAGCTATGTGTCTATAGCTCGTTGGAGAATAGACAGGGGTGGCATGCAGATAATAAACCTAATATCATTTTTCCCTGTAATTGGGCTCTGTGCAATATTTGAATTCCTTTTGATAAACAGTGAGACTGTGGCGTAGCGTTTCTTTAGAGCCTAGGAAATATTGTTGGCATTTGTTTTGGATATTACTATTCAAAATGCTGCTACTGATTTAGTAAGTCTCTTCAAGGTTATAAAATGATCCCAGAATGAAGGAGAACATAGAGACAAGACAACTGAAAGCAAGATATAATTTTGAATTGGATCATTTTTTCTCTAGCAGGTGTTACTGGGCCAGCAGGTGAGCTTGAGTGGGACCTGAATATCAGATGTGAGTACGGCATCAATGTTAATTTCTCAACTCTGATGGTTGTATTTGGAAATGATGGGCATTAAATGATTCAGAAAGAAAAAAGAAGTGGAGGAGGAGGAGGGAAAGGAGGAAAGGAAGAAGAAGGAATGGTTCTCTGTACTGTCCTTGCAGCTTTTCTGAGTTGGTGATTGTTTTAAAAATAAATAAAATTATATAAAAGAAATCAATAAAATAAATCATTCAAATCTCAATACTTGTCTTCTTTGGTGACTTCATTCACTCTCAAATCTGCAAAGCCTGCAACTACTCCATTCATGCAATGGCTTTCTGCATCAATGACTTATTGCTTCATAACAAACCACCCCAAAACCTGGTGGCTTAAAGTAATAACCATCTATTTAGCTCAGAATTCTATGGGTCAGAAACATTGAATGGGATCAACTGTGCAATTCTTCTGGTAGGCTGGGCTGGGCTTACTCATGCGTTTGCAGGGAGTTGCCAGTCCCACTGGGAACCCTTGCTTCTGGGGGTTGCCTGGCTGTCAGCTGAGACCACAAAGGCAACTAGGCTGTATATCCGTTATCACCTACCCACCTAGGCTGGGTTTGTTCCCCTGGCTGCACAAGGTTCTGAAAGCACACAGGTAGTAAAATCAATGCACATCTTCGACATTGCAAGCCTCTGCTCTCCTCACATGTGCTGCTGTCCCACTGCAAAGCAAGCCACACGGACAAGCCCTGGATCAATGCAGGAAGGCCCCATCAAACTGCATCAATAGCGGGGTCATTATAGCAATCAAGCCACCACATTCCCAAATCTATATTTCTGACTCTCATCCTTCTTAGACTGTCTTCCAGACATTTCTTCATGGTGCCCTACCCGAATTTCAAATTTCACTTGTATGAAATTCATCACACTATAGCCAACACAACGTAATAAATAGAACGAGGCTTCTAATCAGCTCTGAGTTTGAATTCTACTTATTGTGAGATTTTGGTTTAAGCTACTCTGAGAATGGCTTCCTTCTATTTGCAAGAAAAATAATAATAAATATTTGATAGCGGTATTACAGGGATCAAACAAGATAGTGTACTGTCAACCCTTAACACACAGTAGGCATTCGATAATTGTTTTGTATTCTCCACCCATTACCTAGAAACTTACTCCCCTTATCCAATTTCTTTATTGACATGCTCTCATTCATCCAGGCTGATGTGAACACTGGGTCATTTTCACATTTTCCTTTTCCTTTGCTCGTTTGTATTCAACCTGCCCACCTAATGGGTTACGGTGAAGAATTACACTGCAGCACTTAACAAAGTGCCTGTCAAATAACAGTCCTCTATATATCTTTTGACTTTTTAAAAGTCACAAAATCAAAACCAGTTAATTGCATTTCTGCAATTTTATTCAACAACGATTAAGTATCAGGGATGAACTGGTCACCTTTTGGGTCTCTTGCCAAAGCTATACTTCTTCCTCCATCTTCCATGTCTGTCCCGTCAGCACCAACAACCAGGGGCATCAGGACATGACCCTGAGAGTCCTCCTTGACACTGTTCTTGTCTGCTTCACTTAAATAATTCACCACGGAGTCTTACTGATAGAAATATCTGGCTGCAAGTTTCATTACCACCGCTGACTCAGTGATTGACATTGGACGACTGACTTAGTCTCTCTGTTTCGGTTTCCTCATCTGTAAAATGGGAGTGATAATATCAGTTACAGGAAGAGCTTAGGCTGCGCCAGCTACCTACCCTGTGCTTTGATAGAGTTAGCTATTACTGTTGCCCCCTGAGTCCTTCCTTCTCTCTCCATCTCTGCTTGCTGCTACCTCAATTAAGGCTCTCACCATCTCTCTTGGGTGTGAGTGCCATTCATCATCTTCTAACTTAAATCCAGTGCCTGGTTTCACCTATTCCAATCCATCCTACACCCAGGCACCAGGGAAACCAGTGCAAGTGAACAAGCCCAGGATACCACTTACCTTCTGAAATCCCTTATCTATTGCTATCTTCTCAGACTATTTGGACTGAAGATCAGTTTGTTTCCTAATCAGGTTTCTGTAACAGAACATACTTATGCAAAAGAGTAAAAATTATTTATTGGAAAAATTTAATACAACAAAACCCAAACACGTACAAAATACAAGCCCCAAATTTTAATTGTCACATGTCATAGGGAATAAAGAGTTTGTCAAATTGCTGACGGGGCGTGGTGACTCACACCTGTAATCCCAGCACTTTGGGAAGCCAAAGCGGACAGATCACTTGAGGTCAGGAGTTCAAGACCAACCTGGCCAATGTGGTGAAACACTGTCCTACTAAAAACACAAAAATTAGCCAAGCATGATGGCACACGCCTGTAATCCCCGCTACTCAGGAGGCTGAGGCAGGAGAATTGCTTGAACCCAGGAGGTAGAGGTTACAGTGAGTCGAGATTATGCCACGGCACTCGAGCCTAGGTGACAGAGCAAGATCTATCTTAAAAAAAAAAAAAAAAAAAAGAAAAGTCTGTTGAATCAAAGCAAAAGTTTCTAAACATACAGCAGTCCCAATTTCTCCACTCATCTCTTCATGGACCCTTGGCAAACAGCTGCTGAACTGAGAACTGCCCTTTGAGAAGCACCTAAGTTAGGAGCCCCTCACTACCTACAGTCCAGCTAGTTTCTTGCCTAATCTTATCCTCCAATCCACCCCCTCTCCCACACCCCAACTCTTCCTGCAAAATGTGCATTTATGCATTTGTGCATTCATTCACTTACATATTATTTGTTGATTGATTGACTTGGGTTCCCCGAATGTATAATCCATCTCTGTTTCTTCCCACATGCTGTTTCCTCTTCCTTTTCCCATTTTTGTGACAAGAAAACTCCCAAACAGATGCTGCATGGTCTACAGTCCTCCCATCTGCTGTGTGGTGTTGTGGCTGCCTGCCAGCCCCTGCTTTGTCCCTGATGCGACGGTTGGTTGTCATCTTCTTCCTCAACATTCCTGTGTGACTGCCAGCCCTCCGGCTAGCACGGTCTCTCCCGGCCTTAACAGTCACAAGCCATGGAGTCCTGCTGCCTCCAACAACACTGGTGTAATGCTAGTGCTTCTGTAGGAAAGGAAGGTTTCCTCCCTGAATCAATAAAGCCATTTAAGCCTTTTAGTGAAAGCCTGCTTATTCCATTCCTCTCTCCTTTCTCCTAAGGTAACTGGGGCAATGCGCTTGAGGACTGCTCCAGAAAACATGTAAAGACACTACCTTGTATCTCACCAACTTTGCCAGCTCTGCCTACTCTGTCTGGTATTCATCTGGCTGCAATAAAAAGCACAAAGAAAAGCACATCCCCACCAGAAAAGCAGCATTTAGAGCCATTCAGGAAGGACCAAAATTGTGGGACCGTACTGGTGGTGGGGTAATTCAAGGAACAGCACAAGTTGGTGACTCGGATTTTAGTCTTTAGAGACAATTCTCCATGGGACTTTCTTATTTTTGTGCGTCTTCTGAGCAGAGGCATGGACAGCCTTTTTTCTCTTTTCAAAAATGTACATGAACAGTTGAAAGATAGAAACAGTGTCTTCTTCTGGAGCAGAGGGAAGAATGTTGTACAGTACAATAAATATATTGTCTCCAGGAAGGGCGCAGTGGCTCACGCTAGTAATCCCAGCACTTTGGGAGGCTGAGGCAGTGGACCACCTGAGGTCAGAAGTTCCAGATCAGCCTGGCCAACATGGTGAAATCCCATCTCTATTAAAAAAAAAAAAATACAAAAATTAGCTATGTGTGGTGGTTGGTACCTATAATCCCAGCTACTTGGGAGGCTGAGGCAGGAGAATCACTTGAACTCAGGAGGCAGAGATTGCAGTGAGCTGAGATTCCACCACTTCACTCCAGCCTGGGTGACACGAGCAAAACTGTCTCAAAAAAAGAGACAATGTCTCCCTCCTACACAAAACTTAGGTAGCTTTGTTTGCGGCCCATTTATTACCAAATATTAGGGTTCCTAAGCTGAGAGTTCCTCAAATACACCTGTGACATCCAGGGCCTCAAATGAGTTCACATCCTTTACAGGGACATAGATGAGGCTGGAAGCCATCATCCTCAGCAAACTAACACAGGAACAGAAAACCAAACACCACATGTTCTCACTTCTAAGTGGCAGCCGAATAAGAACACATGAACACGGGGAGGGGAACATCACACACCAGGGCTTGTTGGTGGCCGGGGGGTAGGGGAGGGACAGCATTAGGACAAACACCTAATGCATGTGCGGCTTAAAACCTAGATGACAGGTTGATAGGTGCAGCAAACCATCATGGCACATGTATACCTATGTAACAAACCTGCATGTTCAGCACATGTATCCCGTAACTTGAAGTAAAATTTTAAAAATTAAAATAAAAATAAACAAATAAAACATCCAGGGTCCTCTATGTGGGACTTCTTGAGAGACAAAGGGAACTGACACAGGCAGGCACGGCATGCCACTTGCTATGCAGGGAGGAAAGGAGTCCTCTGTCTCTATCCAGACATGCTGTATCTTCTATCAACATTCCTGAATCAGGGGCAGGCTTACGTGTTCACTCAAAGCAGGGTAAAATAACACAGTTCTGGACATTTAGAGGAGGTCAGGGAACTATTTCAGCAGTCCCACTTGAGCTAAGGCATACAGGCTTTGTGTAAGTTAACTGTAAGGACATTCTAAAAGACAGAGAAAAGCACATAGCAGGGCATGAAGGTGTCACCTCATGACACATTTAGGAAAATTCACATACAACAGGAAGGCCAGATCATTGTCAAAGATATTTGGAGACGGCTGTGAAACTAAACCAATGTATTCAATTTAGCATTAGGTTCATTTTGAGTTAAAAATTTTAGCAGCATTAAGCATAGTCTAAATTACCTAATGCAGTGCTTCCCAAACTGGTGTCAAAGAAAAACGTAGCTTTCCTTGTAATGCAGCATCTATCAGTGTGCCAAGAAAAATAGACTTTCCCTGCACAATTAAGTTAGTTTGTTAAAGGCAAGCAAAGTTCGATACTTTTTTTACTGAAGCCCTTCTGGATATTTTAATATGTCAATAAATATTTTGAATCACCAAATGGGAACTGTAGCATACGGTCTAGCTAGCCTCAGCTAATCTGATCAGATATCCTTTGTTTGAGGAGCCCTGATTACCATTTCCCAGAATCATTGCTCTGCTCCTCCTGATAGGAGTAATGTCTATCTAATCCATTTAAAAATCACTATGGCATTATTATAAGCAAACAAATAAAATTACAACTGAGTAAAATTAATCTTTTGCTGGATTTGCTTTGAAAATATAACTACATGATTAGGATTCTGTGATCCTAGCCTTCTTCACCTAGAGAAAGTGAAATTCTATGGAGGCTTGCATGCATTTAAATGTTCTCTGCTCCAATGACCTGCAAAATAATAAATTATTCCATTAATTATTGCACAGGAGCACATAACTCATACACCTAACCTCTAGTTGAGTAAATTGTTGTAAGAACTATTTACATAATACTGAAATATATATATGTATATATGGTGTGTATATATATATATATATATATATAGTACTATATATAAATACCACATAAAATACTATAAACATAAATAGCACTGTATGGTATATATAGTACTATAGTATACACGTATTGTGCTATATATAGTATATATAGTACTATAGTGTGTACATATATATATATATAGTATATTATATATAATACAATAGAACACACAAGTTTGGAGGTTTACCCTGTATAATTCAAACATTATTTACTTTGCTGAAGAATGCACCAGAGTCCTATTGCACTCTAGGTCATTGAAAATACAGTATTACACACATTTTAATATGGAAAGATATATATGTAATAATATATGTATTACACCTGCGTTAGTGTGTGTGTGTGTATATATATATATATATATATATATATGTTGAAAACACCAAGGCAAGTTTTCCTCATCTGTAAAACAAAAAGAATTAGGTAGCCAAGCAAGGCAAAGTTGATAGTCCTTTGATTGTTGGCCATTTTATAGCTGAAACAATGGCTTAATTATTGTTACAAGCACACACTAAAATAAAAAGCAAATATTGTTTCCTTAAAGTTGATGGGAGGATTGATTGAAAAGCTCCACTGGCCAAAAACATTTGGAAGATTTTTATCATCACCTGCTTCAGCCTGTTGAATGACAGAGATTCAATGTGTTGGCTCTCCACTGTTTTGGAAAAACAGGATTCTAATCCATCGCTACGTCACCACTGAATCCCCGCACCACCACCATGTTATCATATAGAAGACATTCAGTCAATGTTTATTAAATCAATAAATGAATCTTTCACCATATAACTGATTTGATAACTATATTGTATAATTTTGAGCACTTTTGCTGATTTGTATGAAATTCTTTACCACCAATCCAGCTGATTCAGATGACTAAAAATTTCATTAGAGAAACAGAGAAAATACAAAAGAAATGTTTAAATGATTTATCAGAAGCAATAACTAAATTACTAAAACCCTGAGGCGTATATAGAGTGAAACACTGCAGTAGAGCAAACATAGATAACATTCTGTTTACATGGATTTTACATTTAAGTTGAAAAGCAAACAAATTTATCTTTATAGTTTCTCTTTGGTAAAATCATGGATAGGGTTTTACAATTTTCATTTATTTCAACTCTGAGTTTCTCATTTGAAGTGGTGTTTATTTCATATAATCCCCTGGATTTTAACTAAGGAATACTTTGTTATTTAAAATGTCATGCTGCCGGGCGCGGTGGCTCAAGCCTGTAATCCCAGCACTTTGGGAGGCAGAGGCGGGTGGATCACGAGGTCAAAAGATCGAGACCATCCTGGTCAACATGGTGAAACCCCGTCTCTACTAAAAATACAAAAAATTAGCTGGGCATGGTGGTGCGTGCCTGTAATCCCAACTACTCAGGAGGCTGAGGCAGGAGAATTGCCTGAACCCAGGAGGCGGAGGTTGCGGTGAGCCGAGATCGCGCCATTGCACTCCAGCCTGGGTAACATGAGTGAAACTCCGTCTCAAAAAAAATAAAAAAAAATAAAAAATAAAATAAAATGTCATGCTGATGAGTGAAAAATTTATGCTGAAATCAATAAAAGATTTAAACTGCATAGGCCAATTTTCTTTTCCTATCTCACAATGACTCAGTCTCCCTGTATCCTTGGGCTTTGCCCCTCCGCTGTTTGTTAGTCTTGGTGCCGCCAGGATAATCCCCAGCTGCAAAATTCTCTTCCCCAATTTGCATGCATGAGGACTCACTGCCACCCAGAGCCCTAAATTATTTGTGCATATTAGCCCCATATCATGACCTTTCATAATGGAAAAAAAAAAATGATTCCCAACCACAAAGAATTTATTATCTCTATGGAGAGAAAGTCAAATGCAAAATTAACTGTTCTGCAAAACGGAATTCATTTCCTCATCCATTCATTAAGTTGTTATTGATTCATTCAGCAACGTTTATTTACCACGCATGAAGGTACTGCTTCTGTGGAAGATATTGTGGATATAAAGACAAATAAAATATCTCAGTCTACTGCCATGTTCCTACTTCCCTACCTGCCTTTCCAGAACCTCGGCTCTGGCTCTCACGCATGCTCCATATTTCCTCAACAACCACAAAAGACCATTGTCTACAGTTTTCCTCATGACCCTCCAGCCCTATAGGCAGTTGTCCAGTCTTCCTCAAGCACAATTATATTCAAGCAACTCCCCTCTTCAAAAGTTTTTAACCCCACAACCCAGGAAGTAAATTCTAAATTCTCTAGTTGACAACAATTGAAGTCCCCGATATGCTGGCCCCTATCTATTTCCAGTCTTAAGAAACTAACATGACAGAGTGACTTGCCTTGCCCGAGTCCTTTCATACATATTGTTTCAGACACTGCGCCCTGAATTATTTTCACAGTAATACTGGAGATTCACAGAACACTGTCATGTGTATCCCAACACACTTCATTTTCCTCCTGGGCACACAAAAGACTGTATTTCTAAGCCCCTGACATCTAGGTGGAGCCATGACACTGGTTCTGGTCTATGGAATGTGGACAGATTTAATGCATTTCTACACCTGCTCCCTAAAAGATCACCCATACTCTTTCCCTCTTTGTTCCCCTCTGGTGGTGAATGTGGAGACCTGTGTAGAGACAAAGGTATCTCAAGATGAAGTGCTCAAAACTCATGCTGCAGCAGAGCTCCCAGCCCTAGAAACCAAATTAAACCCTGATTTTGGAAAATGTTCCATTTTTATTCTTTTAAGTCCCTGAGATTTCAGGGTTGGTTTGTTATTGCAGTGTAATCTAGCTTATTCTAACCATCCAGCCAGAAATTAACTGCATCCTTTTAGACATGAAAAAACTAAGGTCCCAAAAGTTAAATGACACCCAAATGTATACAGTTAATAAGTAGAAGGATTCTATATTAGTCCATTCTCACACTGCTATAAAAATACTGTAAGACTGGATAATTTATAAAAGAAAGAGGTTTAATTCACTCGCAGTTCCACATGGCTGTGGGATGCCTCAGGAAACTTACAATCATGGCAGAAGGTGAAGGACCTTCTTCACATGGCAACAGGAGAGAGAAGAGTGAGAAGCAAAGGGGAAAGAGCCCCTTATAAAACCATTAGATCTTGTGAGA